AAAAAACAATTTAATTTGGTTATAAGAGAAATATCTACATATAAAAAACACATTTGAAATACAATTAATGACCTGGGAAAAAATAGTCACAAAATATTTTTAAAATAATGTTTTTAATATAAAGATATTTTATAAATAAACCACTTATGAGTGCACAAAATGGTTCTGTCTGTGTGGAAAAAAATTTTGTTGTGTATAATTTCTCTCTCTTACACACACACACACACACACACACACACACACCACTTAAGCCATAATAATGACATATGTTAAAAGTAATGAATGGTATGATTTTCATATTCTTTTCTATACTTACCTGTATTTTCTCAATTTTCTACAACTTCTATGTTTATAACAAGAAAAATTATTGAGGAATATAAGTATGCAATATTTAGTGTGTATGGAAAGAAAGAGACAGAGACAGACAGAGAAAGATATAATAAATTTTCTTGACATTTACTTACTGGCTGTATAAACTTTAACAAGTTATTAATCTGTCTGTGCCTTGGTTGCCTCATCTATAAGTGCAGATGATAATAATTTCCACTTCACAGGGTTGTTGCAGGGACTGAATGACATAAAGGGCTTAAAACAGTAAGGGCTCAATATATGTTTGCAATCAGCATTCCCATCATCACTTCTCTCTAAAAAAGAGGAAAAAGAAAAAACTAATACTGAAGTATCAAGGAGCTGTTAATAAAATTATTTTAAATTAGATGGTCTCTAAGCCTAGAATACTGTTAACAAATGTTTGTGTTTATTTCTATGTTGCATTATTCCATTATCTCCCACCCAGCCAGATTATAATTCCTGATGTCACTTTTTATGTACTACCACCACCAAGTGCCCTCTAGCTGACAACACTGACTATATACAGTACATGGACTAGTGCAGGTGTTTTACTGTTCAATGCTAAACATCGTGTGTACTAAGGTTTGCAAATTCAATAAATATATGTTTCGTACATAAATACATGTTTTTTTGGCCCAGATTTGAATGTGAAACTGCATGATAAATATATATAATTTTTTCTGTTAATCTCTTAAATAATAAATAAATATCTTGTTTTTGTTTTATTTCAATTACAGTTTTATGAACTTGTATAAATACATGTTTTTTTGGCCCAGATTTGAATGTGAAACTGCATGATAAATATATATAATTATTTCTGTTAATCTCTTAAATAATAAATAAATATCTTGTTTTTGTTTTATTTCAATTACAGTTTTATGAACTTGTAAGTCTTTCTGTTGACTATTAGAATAGAGTGTAGCCAATATAATTTCTCAGATATTTATTCACTATGAGATAGAGTTAATAAAAATATTTTGGAAATACAAACTTTCACAGACAACATCCCCCAAACTCCAATGTAATTGGTCAATTCAGTGAAAATAAGTCAAACTCTTCACCTATCAACCGCACTAAAATTTTTCAATTTTATTATTTTCTGGCGATGCGGGCAGCTGTAATTAAATGTATTCTGTGTCACCTACCAATCCCAAAAAAGAGGGAAAAGTTGTGGATCTTTTCTTTTTTATTATTATTATTCATGATAAAATTTATCCTGAAAATTTATCGTTTTAAAATTTGGTAAGCTAGAGAAAAAGGAAAAAAATCCCAAATACACTTACTCTCTGTGACTAATTTTTTGCATGTGTTCACTATCTCCCAAGACAATGTGGATAAGAAAAGGTGACTGATGTAAATATTGATTGGGGATTTTACTAGATGGATCTAATTTTTAAAAACCCTTCTTAATTCTGATAAAATAACAACGTGATCAGTCTGAGAAGCTGGGCAGGGTACAAAATCAGGACAGAAAGCCGGGAATGTAAGTAAAAGAAGATTAAAGGGAACATTTAGTTGAACACTAACTTTACTTGGAGTGGATATTTCTGAGGTCTCTGCTACCCAGACTAGTGTCTCCTGATACCCTGTCTACAAAGATAACAGTAAAGAGCTACTTCATGTATTCAAAAGAACTAACAGTAAATGAGTACTTTTTATAACATTATTTGGTGATAGGGTTTGTATCTTCCTATTCAGAAATTATTAATCAAAGCTGTGTATTTATGTGGAAATCAAATTAATTATTATCATTTCTAAAACTGTAATCCTGGAGGGCAGAAATTAAATTAAAAGGGGCCTTAGGATGTAGAAAATTGTTAAATATAAACAATCTTGTTCTGATCTTAGGAAATGCAGTGAAACTCAGTAAATTATTATTTTGTTTCAGCTCTCAGTTATTGACTTCTATATATTCAGGCTTTGTTGACACTGTTTCATTTGACTCTGGATGATCCTATTTTCTACATTACACAATTAAAAACAAAAAACTCAGGGTAGCAGATAACATCCTTAAGGAATTGGACAGGTAGAACTCAACACCTATTCCTCATCCCAGAGAAATACCAGTAATTTTATGTTTGAGACTAACGTTTTCTCTAACATCAGAGAATTCGAGTAAAGATAAGGGAACCCACAGGAAAGCCCTAAGTGGAGGGTGTGGAAAGGAGAGAGAGATAATGGAAGAAAAAGAGACTGAGGATGATCAACCTTGTTCCACATAGGTCCGATGGAAGTATCATACAGAGATTGAGACAGCACAGAGTTTACCGTTCTTTCTAAGCCTTCTTTTCTGATATTGACCCAGATCCCCCAAGAAGACAGAGTTCTTGAAAAAAACTGAAAGTGCTTATTTTCTTCCCAAAGGAATTTTCCAGGTAGCCCCTATTGAAAAATCGGGGTCAAACTGGGTGCTGTTGGCCACGCAACTGACTGTCCACTCACAGCAGGAAAGCTGGTAACAACAGGGGATCCTTTTAAATGTGCGAGAGCAGAGGTGAAAGGACAAAAGCTAATTACAGGGAGAAAATGCTTTAGGTGTTGGTCTCTGGTGTCACTGTTGTCATGGAGCTTTTGTCCCTACTGATTTCATGCCCACTTTGCC